AATAGGAAAAAAGCTCCATAATGGGGAAGAAATTACTCGGAGGAGGAAAAGATGTTTCCTTGGGTTTTTTCCCACTTTTCACCGCTTTTCCCCCCACATTTTCCCCTTTTCCCACATTTTTCCTCATTTCCCCCCCCATATTTTTCCTCTCTTTTTCATACATTTTCCCTCGCTTTTTTCCCACTTTTTCTTCCCCTTTCCCCCGTATTTTTCCCATTTTCCCCACTGTGAAAAATGCTTATTCTGTGATTGGTTTTTTGCAAATGTTATAATAAATATTGTATGTGTAATGTTAGAAAGTCATGCTGTCAATTTTTCTAAGTAGTGTGATAAACGTCATTTTAAGTCACAACACAATGTTAAAACAGAAACTCTGCGACATAAATTTTGTTACAGATTTAAGTGGAAAAATAAAGTAATCAAAAAACTTTTTACACAGAAATGTTAATAGAGGAGGCCCATAAAAAGTGACTATTTCCTTATTAAAAAAAACATTCTTCTGCTTTCTCTCCGTCTTTTTTAAACTGTTAAAATTAAAAAAAAGCTAACAAAAACTGAAAATGTTTTTAATTTACAAAAAGTTTAGGGATGAAATATGAAATATAAATACACAACAAACTATTACTTTTACGGGTATTTCTTTGTTCACAAAGTACATTTTTTGTAATTCACTGTCCAAAACCATCCAAATGTTCATAATCCTTTGCTTTTTATTGTCTTGTAATTGTCCTAGCCTTAAATTTTGTTATTCTATTTATATTGCTGTTTTTATAACCATTTTATTATTTTTTAAGTTTTAAAAACTGATTGGCGTTTTTCATACCACTTTTCCCCAGTTTTTCACCCCTTTTTTCCCACATTTTCTTCCCTTTTTTCTACATTTTTCCCTTACTTTCCCCCATATTCCCTCCTACTTTTCCTGAGTTTTTCTCACATTTTTCTTCTTTTTCTCATTTTCCCCATTTTTTCCTCCTTTTTCCCATATTTTTTCTCAGTTTTCCCCATTTTCCTCCCACTTTTTCCCACTTTTTTTTCCCATGCTTTTCCCCATTTATCCTCGCCTTTCCCCCCACATTTTTCTCCTCAGTTCTTACTTTTCCCCACATTTTTCCCCCCATATTTTCTCCTACTTTTCCCCACATTTCCCCCCCTTTCTCCCTTATTTTCCCCACATTTTCTGACACTTTTTCCCCATTTTCTCCCACTTTTTTTGCACATTTTTCCCATTTTTTCCCCAGCATGACAGACTGGGAGACGGCTCCTGCAGTGACGGAGACCCCGGACATCAAATTGTTTGGGAAGTGGAGCACGGATGACGTGCAGATCAACGACATCTCCCTGCAGGTGGGCTGCTGGAATTCCTGGGTTTCCAGGGGAAACGGGCTGGAATTCCGAGGTTTCTGGGGCTGGAATTCCAAGGTTTCCATGGGAATCTGGGGCTGGAATTCCTGGAGTTCTGGAGAGAATTTGGGGCTGAGGTTCCTGGCGTTCTGGAGGGAATTCAGGTAGAAATTCCTGGAATTCTGGAGGGAATTTGGGGCTGAAATTCCCATTTTTCCATGGGAATCTGGGGCTGGGGTTCCTGGCGTTCTGGAGGGAATTCAGGTGGTAATTCCTGGAATTCTGGAGGGAATTTGGGGCTGAAATTCCCATTTTTCCATGGGAATCTGGGGCTGGGGTTCCTGGCGTTCTGGAGGGAATTCAGGTGGTAATTCCTGGAATTCTGGAGGGAATTTGGGGCTGGAATTCTCACTTTTCCATGGGAATTTGGGGCTGAAATTCCCACTTTTCCATGGGAATCTGGAGCTGGAATTCCAGAGGGAACCTGGGGCTGGTGTTAAATTTCCTGCAGGTGGAAATTCTGGGTGATTTTTTTTCCCCCCTGTCGTTATACAGAGATAAAAATCTGAGTTTTTGTGGGATTTGGGCTGGGATTTTGGGGGTTTTGGGCTCAGAATCACAAACCCAATCCCGGAACTCGGGAATTTTTTAGGATTACATCGCGGTGAAGGAGAAGTACGCGAAGTACCTGCCGCACTCGGCCGGGCGCTACGCGGCCAAGCGCTTCCGCAAGGCGCAGTGCCCCATCGTGGAGCGCCTCACCAACTCCATGATGATGCACGGCCGCAACAACGGCAAGAAGCTGATGACCGTCAGGATCGTCAAGCACGCCTTCGAGATCATCCACCTGCTCACCGGGGAGGTGGGGAGATCCCGGGAAAAACGGGAAAATTCCCGGGAAAAACGGGAAAATTCCCGGGAAAAACGGGGTCAGAATCGGGTTTTTAGGGGGGAAAACGAGATTAAAAAGGGCACGGCTCCAAGATCATCCACCTGCTCACCGGGGAGGTGGGGAGCCCTGAGAAATGGGGAAAATGCTGGGGGAAATTCCAGGAAAAACGGGGCAGAAATGGGGTTTTTAGGGGGGAAAGTGAGATTAAAAAGGGCATGGGTTGGTGATCATCCATCTGTTCACTGGGATGGTGGGCAATCCCAAAACATGGGGAAAAATCCAGGAATTTGGTGAAAAAACAGGAAAAAAAAGGGGTTTGGGGGAAAAAAAATTGAGGTTTTGGGGGGGAAATGGGGTTTTCAGGAGGAAAAATGGGGGGAATCTTGGATTTTTAGGGAATAACGTGATTCGGGGATGGATGTTTTGGGATTTTCTCATGAATTCCCATGTGATTTTTTTGGGAATTCCTTGCCAACGTTTTCCCTGTTTCCAGAACCCCCTGCAGGTGCTGGTGAATGCCATCATCAACTCGGGGCCGCGCGAGGATTCCACGCGGATCGGCCGCGCCGGCACTGTGCGCCGGCAGGCCGTGGACGTGTCCCCGCTGCGCCGGGTCAACCAGGTGCCTCCGAATTCCCAAATTTCCCTTCATTCCCAAATTTCCTCCTTCTCTCCCCTTTTTTCCCCACTTTTTCCCATTTTTTTCTCATTTTTTCCTGGTTTTTTCCCCCCAAAATTGCCATTTCTTAACCCAAATTTCCCCAAATTGCCATTTTTTTATCCCAAATCCCCCTTTCCTACCCCAGAATTCCTGTTTCTATCCCGAATTCCCGTTTTTCTCCCAGGCCATCTGGCTGCTGTGCACGGGCGCTCGCGAGGCCGCCTTCCGCAACATCAAAACCATCGCCGAGTGCTTGGCCGACGAGCTCATCAACGCCGCCAAGGTGGGACTCCCAAAATTCCCAAATCCCACCCACCATTCCCAAATTTCCACCCAAAATCCCACCCACGATTCCACCCATGATTCCCAAATTTCCACCCAAAATCCCACCCACGATTCCACCCACGATTCCCAAATCCCACCCAAAATCCAACCCACAATTCCACCCACAATTCCCAAATTTCCACCCAAAATTCCACCCACAATTCCATCCACAATTCCCAAATTTCCACTCACAATTCCATCCACAGTTCCACCCACAATTCCCAAATTTCCACTCACAATTCCATCCACAGTTCCACCCACAGGTCTCAAAATCCCATCCAAAACTCCCAACTTTCCCCCAAAATCCCACCCACAATTCCCCCAAATCCCCTCTCCTGCTTTCCCCAATTTTTTCCCTTTTTACCTGTTTTTTTTTTCCAGTTTTTTTGCATTTTCCTCGGGTCTTTTTCTATTTTTTCCTGATGTTTTTTCTCCTCTTTGTCCCAATTTTTTCTCTTTTTCCCATTTTTTTTTATTTATCTGCTAATTTTTTTTGTTTTCCCCATTTTTTCTCTTTCCCTCCTTTTTCTCCCCTGTTTCTTCTTTTTCCTCCCTTTTTTCTCTTTTTTGGTTTTCCCCATTTTCCCTGATTCTTTCCCATTTTCTTCATTTTCCGCCCTTTTTTCTCTTTTGTTCTCCAATTTTCTTCTTTTTCCCAATTTTCCTTGATGTTTTCCCATTTTTTGTCATTTTTCCTGGAGTTTTCACTGTTTTTCTTATTTTTTATTATTTTCCCTTTTTTTCACATTTTTTTCTCCTTTCCCCCCCTTTTTCCTCCTGGGTTTTCTGTTTTGTTTTGTTTTTCTTATTTTCCACATTTTTCCCATTTTCCCTCCTTTTCCCCCATTTTCTCTTTATTCTCCTGGCTTTTTTTTCCCCCATTTTCCTCATTTTTCCTATATTTCCTCTTTTTCCCCTCCCT